CGCCTCCTCCTCCTCCTCCTCCTTCTCCTCCTCCTCCTCCTCCTCCTCCGCCTCCTCCTCCTCCGCCTCCGCCTCCGCCTCCTCCTCCGCCGCCTCCTCCTACTCATACTCATACTCCTACGTACTCTTCCTCATCCTCATCCCCCTCATCCTCCTCATCCTCCTCCTCCTCCTCATTCTCAGCATCCTCTTATTTGTCGTCTTCTCGGTATTCTCCTCCTCCTCTTGTTCGCGTCCTCATCCTCATCCTCCGCCTCCTCCTCCGCCTCCTCCTCCGCCTCCTCCTCCTCTCCCCCATCGTCCTCACTGCCCCTCTCCTCCTCCTCATCCTCCGACATCCTCCTCCTCCTCCGCCTCCTCTCCTCCTCCCTCCTCCTCCTCCGCCTCCTCCTCCTCCCCCCCGCCTCCTGCCCCCTCCTCCCTCCTCCTCCTCTCCTCCTCCTCCTCTTCCTCCTCCTCCTCCTCCTCCTCCTCCTCCTCCTCCTCCTCCTCCTCCTCCCTCCTCACTCCCTCCCTCCTCCTGCTCATCCTCCTCGTTTTATTCTTGATCTTCTCGTCCTCATCGGCTTCCTACTCCTCCTCTTCACCTCCTCCTCCTCCTCCCCCCCCCTCCCCCTCCTCCGCCCTCCTCTCCTCCGCCCCTCCTCCTTCCGCTCCTCCTATTTCTCCTCCTCCTCCTCCTCCTCCTCCTCCTCTCATCATCATCATCATCATCCTCCTCTTCCTCCTCCTCCTCGTCCTCCTCATCAGCTTCCTCCTCCTCCTCCACCTCCTCCTCCTCAGCATCATCATCATCCTTCTCCTCCTCATCCGCCTCATCATCCGCATCCGCCTCCTCCTCCTCCGCCGCATGCTCCCACTCCTGCTCCTACTCCTACGTAATCATCCTCGTCCTCCTCAGATTCGTCGTCGTCATCCTTCTTCTCCTCCTCCTCCTCCTCCTCTTTCTCCGCTTCCTCCTACTCATCCTCCGTCTCCTCCTCCTCCTCCTCCTCCTCATCCTCCCCCCCTCCTCGTCATACTCATCGTCCTCCTCCTCTTCCCGTCATCCTCATCATCCTCCTCCTCCTCCTCCTCCCTCCTCATCATCATCATCATCACAATCATCAGCATCAGCATTCATCATCATCATCATCATCATCATCACATCATCATCATCATCATCATCATCATCATCATCATCATCATCAGCACATCATCATCATCATCATCATCATCATATTCCTCCTCTTCGGTATCGTCCTCCTCCTCCTCTTCCCCAGCCTCCTCCTGTTCATCCTCATCCGCCTCCTCCTCCGCCCCCGCCTCCTCCTCCTCCTCCTACGCCGCCTCCTCATACACCTACTCCTACGCGTACGGACTCCTCATCCTCATCCTCCGCGTCGTCTTATTCATCCTCCTGCTCATCATCCTCCCCCTCTTCGTCTATTCCTCCTCCTCATCCGCCTCATCCTCCTTCTCCTCCGCCTCATCCTCCTCCTCCTCCTCCTCATCGTCCTCCTCCGCGTCCCTTCCTCCTCTTCCTCCTCATCCTCCTCCTCCTCATCCTCCTCGGCATCCTCCTCCTCCTCATCATCCTTCTCATTTTAATCCTCTTCTTGTCCTCATCATATTCCTTCTCCTCCTCCACTTCCACCTCCTCCTCCTCATCCCCCTCATCCTCCTCCTCATCCTCCTCATCCTCCTCCTCCGCCTCCTCCTCCTCCTCGTCTTCCTCCTCCTCCTCTTCCTCATCTTCTTCCTCCTCCTCCGCCTCTTCCTCGTCCTCCGCTTCATGCTCATCATCATCAGCAACAGCACCGTCAGCATCATCATCATCAGCAGCATCATAATCATCATCATCAGCAGCAGCAGCATCCTCCTCCTCCTCCTCCTCCTCCTCCTCCTCCTCCTCCTCCTCCTCCTCCTCCTCCTCCTCCATCCCCCATACCATGATTCCTCATCCTCCACCTCCTCCTCCTCCTCATCATCCTCAATCATCACAGCATCCTCCGTCTTCCCCTCCTCCTTCTCCTCCTCCTCCGCTCCTCCTCCTCCTCGTCCGCCTCATCATCTTCCTCATCCTCCTCCTCCTCCTCCCTCCTCCTCCTCCTCCTCCTACCCTCCTCCTCCTCATCCTCGCACCTCCTCATCCGCATCAGCATCCTCCTCCTCCTCCTCCTCCTCCCCTCCTCCTCCCTCCTCCTCCTCCTCCTCCTCCTCCTCCTCCTCCTCCTCCTCCTCCCCCACCCCCATCCTCCTCTTCCGCATCATCCCCTTCCTCCTCCTCCTCCTCCTCCTCCTCCTCCTCCCCTCCTCCTCCTCCTCCTCCGCATCATCATCATCATCATCATCATCACATCATCATCATCATCATCATCATCATCATCATCATCATCATCAGCATCAGCATCATCATCATCATCATCATCATCATCACATCATCATCATCATCATCATCATCATCATCATCATCATCATCACAGCATCATCCATCATCATCAGCATCAGCATCATCATCCACCATCATCATCATCCTCCTCCTCCTCCTCCTCCTCCTCCTCCTCCTCCTCCTCCTCCTCCTCCTCCCCTCCTCCTCCTCCCTCCTCCTCCTCCTCACTTCCTCATCCGCCTCCTCCTCCTCCTCCTCCTCGTCCTCCTCCTCGTCTCCTCCTCGCCTCCCTCCTCGCCCCCCCCCCCCCCTCCTCCTCCTCCTCCTCCTCCTCCTCCTCCTCCTCCTCCTCCCCTCCTCCTCCTCCTCCCCTCCTCCTCCTCCTCCTCCTCATCCTCCTCCTCCTCCGCCTCCGCATCATCATCCGCCGCCTCCTCCTCCTACTCCTACTCCTACGCCTACTCCTGCGTACTCATCCTCCGCCTCAGCATCCTCCTCCTCCTCCGCATTCTCGCCTTATTCTTCTTCTTAGTAGTAGTCGTCGTCTTCGTATTATTAATCGTATTAGTAGTAATAGCAGTATTAGTCTTATTATTATTGTTCATACTATTAACCGTCTTCTTGGTAGTACTAGTATTAGTATTATGTTTATTCGTAGTAGTATTAGTGTTACTACCATTATTAGTATTAGTATTATTAGTATGATTAGTAGTATTATGGTTCGTCTGCGTATTCGTCGTTGTATTCCTCTTATTCTTCCTTATCATATTCATCCTCTTCTTCTCGTCCTCATCCTCCTCATCCTCCTCCTCCTCCTCCTCCCCCGCCTCCTCCTCCCCACCACTCCTCGTCCTCATCCTCCCCCTCCTCCTCCTCATTATTCTCCTCCTCTGCCTCCTCATCATCCTCCTCATCCTCCTCCTCCTCCTCCGCCTCCTCCTCCTCGTCCTCGTCATCATCTTCCTCGTCCTTCTCCTCATCCTTCTCCTCCTCATCCGCCTCCTCCTCCGCCTCCGCCTCCTCCGCCTCCGCCGCCTCCTCCTACTCCTACGCCTACTCCTACGTA